GGCCCCCAAGATCCTGTCTGTCTCCAGAAATCCGGCAGCTCTGGGCAGCTGGCCAAGCCCTGGGACCATGGCTCTGCTCTCGCGCTGGCCTTTGTTTGGGATCCCAGGGACAACAACAAAGTTATTTCAGTCCTTAAGGCTCTTGTGAAGGCCCTCGCCCTTCCGCAGCTCCAAACAGGATGGCAAAAAACTAGCATCAGGCCCACCCCTGTGGGGTGCCTTCCTCTGCAGCCCTGAGCCATGGGGCCCTGCCCAGGGCCTGCAACCAGGGCTCTGGCCCCTCCTGGAGCTGTATGATCCGGAGTTCAGGAGCTCCCAGCCTGGCAAGACACATGTGGGGCAAGGGAACTCTCAGACCTCAGAGAATGAGGGACGCTCTGAAGTGACTTCCGCTCCCTCCTGGGCCTGGCACAGCAACACACATGGGCAGGTGCTGAAGTGTAAATGCTCAAAGCTGCAGACTGGCCAAGATTGCAGTGTTTACAGAGCCGCAAGGGGTGCTCCAAAGGGATAGGTCTCCCAGAGCAACAGGGAACACAGGGGAAGTGGCTCCCATGTCAGGCCTAGCCAGCTCCTTAGGCAGCACAGTTCCCTTCTCCTGCCTCCTCCCCACTGCCAGCGATATGCACCCCGAGGGTGCTGTAGGTGTTAGCTGAAGGGCTTTGTCCTAAATTAAGGGCAGACCCACCCCTGTGCTCTGGGCTGGGCAACTTGCTGGAGGTTTAAGGAAACAAGATTCTGACACTAGCCCTTTGGGTAACGTCCCTGCAAGGCCGGTGCAGCAGAGCCCAGACCCAGGTGTGGAGATCAGTGTAGGCTGGAACCTGACAGTGATTTCCCACCCGCACTGGAAATCCCCCAGTCACTTCCATTTTATTTTCCATTTCTTTGTGTGCGCAGTTTTTAGAAAGAATGTTATAAAATGCTCTCAGCCTCTTTCATTCATCATTTTCACTTTGCTGGTTTGCCCTTTTTTCTTTTTGGAACACTGGATGGGGCCCTCAAGTCCAGTCCCTGCTGTCACGGGCAGCCCTGCCACACCAGTTCCTTCAGAAACTTAGCAAACACCAGCTTTTCCCACCTCTTGCCAGTCTCCCTACATCCAGGCATTTTCAGGGCTGGACAGCAAATGACATTAAGAAATAAGAGTTGGAGCCATGGTCTATCTCTAACCCATTCTCCTGTTCCCACCATGGTCAGTTCCAGTTGCTTCAGAGGAAATGAACAGAACCGAGCATTTTAACAAGTGATCTCTCCCCTGCAGGCCAGTCCCAGTTTCTGGCAGTTAGAGGTTTAGGGATACCCAGAACATGAGATTGTGTCTCTGACTACCTAGCTCTCAACCTCTTTCACCTTTCTTGGACCTATCTTTCATAACCTGATCTCATTTTTTTGTGAGCCCACTTCTACTTCTTTCACAACATCCCCTGGCAAGGGGATTAATTGTATGTTGTGTGAAGAAGGCCTTTTTTTTGTTTGTTTTAAACCTGCTGCCTATTAATATCATTGGGTGACTGTGACGGCGCGTTGGGGGTTCCCCGTCTCCTGCACCCCGAAATGGCACCAACAGACTGCACCAGCCGGTGGAATAGAGGAAGTTTATTGCCTCTCCAGGATACCGCACAGCACAGATGTAATCTGGTCACAGAGCTGGGCTAGGATGCCTCAGGCCCCCTTGAGATGGGGGGAGACTGGGCCCCTAAACTCCAGCCCCTTTCCCTAGGCTGTCTCCTCCATGCTCCCAGACAGCAACTAACTAACTCTCTTCCAGCCCTGCCCCCCAGCCAGGGCAGCATTCCACCTTCCTTTGTTCCTCTCCATGGGGGGTGTCTGGCCATACCGGTTGAGAGGTCCCTTTGCATAGTGACTCATCCTGTTTTGCTGGGTCGTGGTACCCACGGCAGCTGGGGAGGGGGGGGTTACCCCAGAGCCAGCAGCATAGAAACCAGCCAGGTACCCCCACTACGTCACAGTGACCTCTGGTTCTCGTGTTAGGAGAAGGGGTACAGAATTCGTCTTTATTCACTTTCTGCACCTTTACTATGCCCTTCCACTCCCTTCCCTCACCGTCGTCTCTTTTCCAACAGTCCCAGTCTTTTACTTTCTCATCAGATGGAAGCTGTTCTATCCCCCTAATCATTTCTGTTGTGCTTCTCTGTACCTTTTCCAATGTTAATATATATATTTTATGAGATGGGGAGACCAGAACTACATACAATATTCAAGGTACGGGTGGACCACGAATTTATATGGAGTGATTGTTATTCACTGTCTTATGATCTACCCCTTTCCTAATGGTTCCTAACATTCCGTTAGCTGGTTTTGGCTGCCACTGCACGTTCAACAAATACTTTTAGAAAACTATTTCACAGAGACTCTAAGCGGGAAGGTAAAAAAGGAAAGCCAAATGAAAAACAAGAAACAAAAATATTTTACAAAAAAAAAAATCACAAAAATTGACACATTTTTCACAAAAAATATATTTGAAAAATAGCCATTTTTCCTTTAAAAACTTTCTGTTTGAAAAATGTCCCTAGCTCTTACTCTGACATCACTGGGGGAGGCAGACATGGATACATTTGAGAGATGGGCCAGTTAACCGGCCATGTGTTGGGAGCACCCCTACAAGCCCTACAAAGCTGCCCCTCGCTCCCCATGGGCTGTGCTCAGGATAGCCTTTGCTATGCCAGGTGGCTACCCCCACCCCCACAGACTCTCTGCTAGTGCTGTGGGGCCCAGTTCTCATGTCCACCGAGAATGCCACCTGCACAGGGCTTCTCCCTGCCAGAACATAGCCCTATACCGAGATTGGCCAGAACTGAGGAGGGCTGAGAGGGGAAGCCTGCATTGGAGCTATTCTCTGCTTCCAGGACACAAAGAGGACAATGGGAGGCACAGCAAACATTAGAGCAGTTTTCGTTTACGGGGGAAGAAGCAGGAATTCAAAGGAAATCCTGCCCATGGGATGTTTAGTGGGGCAGAGACAGGGCAGGCTTTTGCTGGTGCAGAGATTGCTGTGGAGGTGTTTCCTGTTCGCATGCTCTGGACTTAAATCTAATCTAAGCCTCGGCCAAGTAGATTGCTTAAACACGCAGTGCAGCCACTGTGCAGTGAAGCACAATAGCACAGGTCTGATTTCATGCCTCAGTGCGAGCTGAGCTTGGACAACAAGCCAGGGCAATCACCTGGGAACTGCTTTCGCTAACAACTGGGGCCACGTCTGCAGAGGTGTTCCTTGTCCTGCCCAAATCACCTTGCACTACAGTAACAGGGAGCGAGCCCCAGCCCAGGCCTTAGGCTGTCTGGAGACTGGCTCGTGGAGATCAGACATCTGGAAATGTCAGTGCTGCCAGGGGAGTGCTGTGCTGGAAAGTGACACCAGAAGCTCTGTGTTAAATTCCCCTGTGCTTGGTGTACAAGCAAAGGCTGTTTTCTCTGACTGTCCACCCTGCAGCCCATTCCTGGGACCAGAGACACATCAGGGATTTTCCATCACCAGGAATTAAGGTTCCGCCCCCAAAGCCCTCTGCACAGACAGTTTGGCGCCTTGCAGACCTACTCATGGTGCTGGACAGACCCCCACCTGACAAAGCTGAGGACCACCTCCAGCAGGAGGACTCTGCTGAGAAGGGGCCACTTAGAGGGGAAAGCCCGGAACCTGGCTAAGAGATCCCATGGGCTGGCAAGGTTCACATTTCAAACCCCAACATCCCTCTGCAAACTCCTTCCCTGAGGTTTTATTCCCTTTGCCCTCAGCACACGTTCCTTCCCGCTCGCTTCCCACCAGCCTCGCAGCAGAAGTGTGGTGGAAACTGCCACAAATTATTATTGACTCCAGATCCAGAGGCCCCTTCTGTGCACTGAGTTGGCTGGGTCTCCACTGGTTGTCACTAAGAACAGTTCATAAATGGCTCCTCACTGGCTGTCTCAGGAGAGGGGCCAAGCCCTGACCGGGCTGCAGAGACTAACTCTTTTCTCCCCTCTGGCAATTCCCCATTGTCTGGCCCTCGTGCAGTCAGCCAAAGCAAGTGCCATATGGATGTGAAATACCAGAAAATTAGAATGCCTTCCACCCCCACTTGTGCACTGGCCATGTAAATAGCTCCTCAAACTGCAGGACAGCACAGGGTCACGTCCCTTGGGTGCAGACAGTCTCTACACAAGTGCAACCTTCCGGTCAGTTCTGGCAGGAGAGGAGGGGGAGGGGAGGGAAGGGCGGGTGCAGAGATGCCACTCCAGCAACCTTTCCCTTTTAACACTGCACCTTACCCACTAGGCTAGGAACCCCAGGGAGTATCACCCTCAAACATCTCCAGGCTGGAAACCCTGGACTGTCCGTGGAACCCTTGAGACCTGCTTTCCACTGCCACCAAGCTCTTCCCAATGCCCAGGTCAGTTTGTGCTGCTAGTCAGTTTCAGGTGAGTTATTGCTACAGCGATGCCTCAAGGGATTCCTGCTCCAACCCCACTCACCTTCGCTCCCAGTGCTGTCCCCCCACAAGCACCCACCTCCCCGCTCGCACCAGCCAGGCAGCACAAGCAACATTGGTACTTACCCATCGGATGCCCTGTATGCTGGGCAGGCTGCCCGCCTCCCCCTCCAGCCGGATCTGATAGCTGTAGCTCCGGAACAAGTGCATCTTCTTCACGAGCAGGTAGAGCCGGTGCCCTTCAGCAGTGGGGTCTCCGAGCCGGTGGAGCTGCGCTGGCGAGTCTTGGGGGCCAAGTCCGACATGCCACCTGCCCTGCGCGCCCCAGGCCACCTGTGTGCAGAGGGACCCTTGGCGTTCAGCCGGGCCGGGGCAGGCTCTGGCCACCCCCCTCCCGCAAGCTTTCCGCTTTCTCCGCTCCCGCCCCCCTGCACGAAGGGCAGCCAGCCGCGAACTCCCTCCCCTGTGTCTCACCTGCATGTCCCGCGGCTGAGCAAGTCACGGCTCCGGCTCCGGCAGGCGCCCCGCCGGCTGCCCTGGGGCTGTAGCCGGAGTAGCTGGGCTGGGGCGCGGCGAGTCCCCACCACTCGCGCTTCCCGGCGAGGGGTGCTTATGGCCCCGGAGCAGCCCTGGGCAAAACCATGGCTCCCGGGATCTCGCTCCCCGAGCTCCGGCGCAGCCGGCTGGAGACACGCTCAGTGCCGGCTGCTGCGCCTCCCCTCCGCGGGGGATTGGGAGCGAGCGCAGGAGACGCTCCAGCGCTTGGCGCAGGACCCGAGACTTCTCAGCTGCAAACGGCTCCAGCGCGGGCTGCGAGCGCCACGCCCCGAGCCCGTGCGAACTCTCCATGCGCAGCGCGCCCAGCACCGGGGCAGGCGCAGCTGAGGAGGCCCCATCTACGGTCAGGATCTGGAGTGGAGCTGGCCCAGGGGGATGGGGCGGCCGCCGCGGCCCTCTGGGGGCGGCCAGGGCCGAGCCCGACGTGTCCCCTACCCAGAGCTGGGAGCCTTTCTCCAAAACTTTAGGCAGGAGAGAGCTTGAAGGCAGCAGACACTGCACGTGTCCTGCAGACAAAATGAGCCCAGAGCTAGTGACCAGAGCCTCTCTCAGTTGTTCCCTCTGCATTATTTGGTCCAGAAAAATAACAATTAATAACTAATAAAAAGCCTTTTCAGCGGAAATGAACCTTTCATCTGGGTCCTGATGTTCATGAGTTTTGGTGAATCGACAAGAAGGGAAAATTTCCCAAAACCACTTGGCACAATCCGGAAATGTTTCCATTTTTCCATTCATTTTTTCCTGGAATTTTTTTTAAATGTCCAGCATCTCCTGAAACAAAACTGGAATGTGGGCTGGCAACGGAGCTCTCCCAGGGCTGGGCGAAGGCAACATCCCAGACAATTAACTGGCTAAAGCTCTTATGATCGTCCCGGGCTCAGAATTAAATGCCTGGCCTCACCAGCACGGTTCCCAGGCCCATCTCATCCCTGTCCTGTCTGGCTGCACTCACACAAGCAGGGCTGTACCAAAGACAATTCCCCACAAATGGGAGTGTGGAGCTAGCAGTCCTATGGGAAAGTAGCGAGTGACACTAAGACCCAGATTCTCCACTGCGGGAGCAAAGGCTCTATTTGTGTCCCTAATCCCAGAGCCAGTTCTAAGAGAGATTGCTGAGCTCGGTCCCTTGCTCCTGGTAACAGCCCAGTGTGCCTTCTAGGAGCCAGGCTAGGAGCATAGCTGCCCACAGCCCTGCCTCCTGGCCACACAGGAGTCCATCCTGGCACTGATCTGACCTCCATTTTTGCAGTAGCTAGAAACCTGCATTCATGCAGCTCTCTGGTTCTTGGTCTGGTTCAGACCTGCATGGCTTTGTGAAACAGGGGACTCTGCTCTTCCTGCTCCCAGTGACAGCCCTGCCCGTCTTATCTGTTGGGAGTGGGAGCTCTTTGGGGCTTGTCTGTGCAGTGCTTGGTGCTATGCAGTCCCCAGCCTGGTTGTAACAACCATCACCATCAATGCCATCAATTGTACCTCCGCATAGCCTGGCCGGGAGACAGTGCCAGGCCTGGAGTCTGCCATGTGCACAGTCGGTGTGTCTGGAACATCTGAGTCAAAAGCCCAAGGCTGCTGTGGAATTGTCTTCACTGTTCATCTTTATCAGCAGCAGACACATGCAGCTTGAGAGCACCCTTCAGGCCTGAATGATTCCTGGATCTCAGAGCACTTCAGAGGCTGCATCCCTCACTCACCCACCATTCCCGGGCAGCAACATCCGGCCAGAATGTGACTGCTACTTGGAGAGGGCCACAACAGAGCCAAGGGGTAGCTGACACTTGGGTGGGGCTGGAGTCTGCACACTAACACAGGTACCCGCTGGGGGCCGCTGGCAATTGGGCTCACAGTCAAGGGTGACACTTTATCATGAGTGGTGGGAAGGGAAGGCTGGGACAGGCTGATCCTCTCCAAAGAGCCAGGAATGGCCCCTCCCTCACTCAGGACCCAGGGCCCTGATTCAGCAATGTCGCTGGATTCCAGGGGCTCAGGCCCCACCGTCCATCTTCTCGAAGCTGGGGAGACTGCAGTGGGGCCTCGGGGGGAAGTAGCGGGGCTAGGGACCTGCCAGAGGCTCTGAGGCGAAAGCGGAGCAAATCACACCACTCTCAATGCTGTTGTATCAGTCACCCTGGCTGAGGCCCCATGAAGGACTCTGGAGACATGGATTAACCTAAAGCCCCTGCAGGAAAAGGCAGCATAGGAATTGGTATTGCAGTTGTATCTTGGCTCTTGGACCATCACCTCCCTCCTGGCCCCCTGAGATCTAGCTGATCTCCCAGCACTGTGGCAGACCCCCTGGCCCCCATAGATTGTTTTCCCACCATGGTATATTTGGAGCATTAAAAAAAAAACCACTCTTACTACTGAAACTGACCCTCCTCCCCACAGCCTTCCTGCCCTCTCTGTCCCCATCCCAGGCCAAGAGCAGCCAATCAGCCCAACCTCTGAGTTAGCCCAGACCTGGAGGAGCCAGGGATAGCAGAGGTGGGAAATTCTCTGAATATGGACTCACATCTTAGCAATGGGGGATAAGGGCGGGAATTGGGGAAGGCCTTGGGCTGAGACAGGAATGGGGGAGGGGAGTCCAAGATGGCACCAGTGTTGCAAGCGGGGGTGATGAGGATGTTCTGGTGGACAAGGTGCTGGGCTGGGCAAGTGACTGTGTCTCTCTGAGTCTCAGTGCCCAATTACGACACTGTAAAAGGTGTAAATTACACAAGAGGCGCAGGCTGGGAAGGGCCCGCATTGCCTCACAGCTCCTGTGCGCCAGGTAGGTTGGTGAACTGGTGCACAGGCTAGGCCTCAGGGAATACCTCCAGCCTTCCAGGTGGTGGGCCTCTACGCCCAACACAGAACTGGCTCTGCCAGCTCCGCCTGCATGCACAGCTGCCCTGTGTACAGGGTGGCTGTGTCTACACTGCACCCCTTTTCCAGAAAAGGGATGCAGATTAGACACTTTGGAATAGCAAAATCTGCGGGGGATTTAAATATCCCCCGCGATATTTGCATTAACATGTCTGCCGCTTTTTTCCGGCTTGGAGATAAGCCGGAGAAAAGCACCAGTCTAGACGTGATTCTCCGGAAAATAAGCCCTTTTCCAGAGGATCTCTTATTCCTACTTTCAAGGAATTCCTACTTTCAAGTAGGAATAAAAGATCCTCCAGAAAAGGGCTTATTTTCCGGAGAATCACGTCTAGACTGGTGCTTTTCTCCGGCTTATCTCCAAGCCGGAAAAAAGCGGCAGACATGTTAATGCAAATATCGCGGGGGATATTTAAATCCCCCGCAGATTTTGCTATTCCAAAGTGTCTAATCTGCATCCCTTTTCTGGAAAAGGGGTGCAAATCTGCATCTCTTTTCCGGAAAAGGGGTTCAGTGTAGACACAGCCGGTATGTTCTGGAGCAGGGCACGGACTGGGGAGTGGCCAGGATATTCTTGCAGCCCCTGTGCCCTGAAATGGTCCATGGGGCCTGCACCAGGAGCCATGTTGGACCCCAGGAGCCCCTGAGTAAGAGACACAAACCTCCTGTCCATCTCCCAGTGCTGGCAAGGGCAGCCTTTCTGAAGCATGGATCCAATGGAGCACAAATCACTGAAGTGCCAGTGGTGCAGTGAGTGCCCCCAGCAGGGGACCTCTCCTGTAGGCATTAAGCAAACACGGTTCCCTGCAGAGTTCTCCTCTCGCTTCCCCTCTACTTTAGCTTCTGCAGAATCCTTCCCCCTCCCAGCATCCCCATAACCCTGCAGTAGCTGGGCAGGGTTCGTAATCCCTGACTCCGCCATTAGCACAGAAATAAACGAACACATTCGTTAACTGGTTACTGTTTAGTCAGTCCCTATTATCTGTTGTGTCTGGGTGAGCGACAACCCCAAACATCGCACTAAGCTAGCTGCACCGACCCAGCCAGCCCCTTCTGTAGCTCTCCCCCCTCCGACAGCAAACCTTTAACGCTGATCTTCTCCCGGCTCTGCTTCAGCCCCACAGGCACAGGCGTGCTGGGGGAGGTTTCTGAAGCATCCAGTAGCATCCATCCATATTTGTTGTAACATGAAAGACATGGTGAGGGGCCCTCCTCCCCCAGTGCACTTGCCATGTCTGAGTGAGGGCCCAGGCAGCCCTGTCTGCAAAGAAGCCCCCATGGAGTGAGCGCCCCCAAGGGAGCCAGGGACCTCTGTCCAGGAAGGCTGGTGCCTCGCTGTTCAATAGGAGCTGTCACTAGAGACTCATGTTTGTGGCGCAGGCAGCCACACGGCCTATCACTAGCCTGCTCTGAAAGAGGATGCAGCACACATATTGCTGGGGATGACCCCTCTGGGAAGCTGCCCAGCCCTGAAAGTAAATACTCTTGGCGGTATAATGCATGTGGATGTGCCAAGTTCACACATACAGAGCTCTTCGGCCTGACCCAGGCACCTGACTTCTGCTGACAAGTGCTTGAGCTCACTGAAATGCACAGCTACACACCCATGCATTTGACAGCTGTTGCAAACAGCTACTGGAGGAGGAAAAGGTAGAAAGGAGTTAATCTATGTGAGGTAACTCAGAAAAGCACTTGCCCTTGGGGACTCCCTCTTGAAGGCTGAGGTCAAATGCAACATCCTAGTGAAGCCTTGACACCTGGGCTTTGCTGCACTGGGGATTGGAGGTATCCCATTCATTGATCCCTCTAACCTTTTCCATCCATGTGCAGATTTTTTCCATCCATGTGCAGAATAAATTTTATGTGCACAGAGGCATGTACAAATGTGCACCACCAGGAGCTATACAAACGTAACCGTGGCCACGCTGCTAATCAGCTGGGCAGCATTTGAATCTCTTCTGAGTGGCTGCACAGGTGTACTGCTTATAGCGAACATGAGTCCTAACCTTTGGACAGCTCTCTTACTCCAGGCTAGCAACCATGAGAGCAAGACTGGCAACTGTCTGCTGATGCTTTTATCTTGACATCCTCCAGATCTGTTCTGAGCAGGATACAAAACCCCTGAATCCCCTGAACCCAATTGACCAACCCCCCCCCCCTCTGCCCCCACCTCATGCATTCCTGGGCGTTACTCCCGGAACAGAGCAGGCCTGAGCCCTCCTTAGCTTGTAAACATTTCCAAGGTCACGGCCTAGGCTAGTGCAGCCGTGCTGGTGAGGAGGGAGCCTGTGACACACACAAAGCAGCACAGCCGTGTCCTCCTGGCCACTGGGCTATTCCGAATTCTCCTCAGCCCACAGTCAGGGCCAGATTTGCCAAAGCTCGGTGCTGAGACTGAGCACGTTGGGTGCTGGGCTC